TAGCGAGCAGTCTTAATAATTGATTTTCGAGGTGAAAATTACACAGTGATGTAAAATTCTAACGGAAATAAAACAGTACCTAATAATTAATATTGAAATGGCTTTTTGAACGAACGAATAGAAAAAGCTCAAAATCCCAAAGTCTTATAAAATTCTCTTTCTTAGGGACAGCCCAACCTGAAAGACAACATGTAACAAATATCAAGTGATTTTTTTGCAGCAGTAAATAGCATTAACAAACAAAAAAGAAGACAAAAATGTTTGATCAAATTTGAGGTCACATCTCCTTGACAGGTGAAGTAAAAAGGAAGTAGGAACAGCATAACCGAGAATGTCAGTCATGCGCCGAAAATTCGCTTCGGCCTATTCGCTTCTTTCTTCGGAAACTTGTCTCTCCAGTTAAGCCAGTATTCAGCGCTGGTTCACCAAATCTAAATTTTGAATGACTGAGCTTCAGTGAATCACTTCAATCAGCTTACACAAAGCAATGCTGGAAAAAGGAGCCATCAACCGCCTCGCTACCGGATGGTTATTGCGACACGTGCTACTTTCAAATTGCTTCCCGATGCCTCCGCTTTTCAGAGGAAATGAATATGAAGAGAGTCATTGTATTTATCCAGGCTGCGGCTCGTGTTTCTGAATGTTTCGAATTTATGTTTCGTGATTTTGGAAAGTCTGTGCTAGGTCACGCTTTATGCGTTTTGTGCTGTGTAACAGCAGTACAAAATGCATATTGGCACGGAGTTGTCTGTATGTGTGTGTTTGTATGCATGTATGTGTGCGTGTGTGTGCGTGTGTGCCCATGTCCGTGTCCGTAACAACTTGTCCGCAACTTTCAACTCAGGAACCACAAAAGCTAGGAAGCTGAAAATTTTGAGGAACGTCCCCCACCCACTCGCGACCCCTTAAATTTAAATTCAGTCTACCACTGCCCATCGGGAAACACGAACGGCTCCGTGAAAATTTTGGCAGGTAAATTATTATCTCGGGGACCAAAATCTACGGAGCTGAAGTTTAGAATAATGACCCCCTGTCCACGTAGGACCTTGCAAACCCAAATTCAGCATTCCCTTGCTCGCGGGTGTCATCCACGGATCCGTGAAAATTTTGACGGGTAAATTATTATCTCAGGAACCATGAAAGTCAAGAAGACACAGTTTTGTGGTAGTGCCGGTGCGTGAAATATTTAACTATTTTCCAACTTTTAAAATATTTTTGCACAGCTTAAAATAAAAAGCAGTGAAAATCATTAACAGGCAATCATTTGGAGGACGAACTGCACAAAACGCATGATCGCACCGGCTAGTATGGTGCGCTTTGCTATTTTTTGTTTCGAACTTACTTCGTGCATAAATCCCCGGCAAACAAAGTCCTATTGGCAAGCGCTTTTTAGAAGATTAAACAGTATACAGAAAAAAAGACGGTGAAGTACTCTGTGAATTCAAACAAAAAAAACTAAATTCATGTGCACTGATCATACTGAAGAATTTAGTGACGTTCGAAGTAAAATATATGAATCAGATTAAAGAAAAAATGTGGCCAGCGCACCAATTGCCAGTGTTAAAATTACAGTCTTCTAACTTTTCAGGCTTCAACTTGCCCGTAAAAACATTTACGGGCCAGTACGTGAGTACCACGCATAATTGGTATCTGGGTTTGAGCTCGTTAACACCTACGTGGACGGGAAATATCTCCTTAAAATTACAGTCTTCTAGCTTTTCCGGTTCCAAAGTTAGCAGCTTGCTCGCAGACAAGTACGTGAGTACCACGCGACTAAAAGTGCCCATTTTGGGGATCGGCGCCCGTACATGCATATAGATTAAGTTCCCAACGCCCTGCAGCTTTTGTAGGTTTTGAGATAAAAAATCGGTATAAACGAACACACAGACACACACATACACACATTAATATGCGTTTCCCGCATCGCATAGATGCAAAAAAACGCATAAAAAGGAATGAAATAACCTTTTCGTAAGCTTTTCCATATAGGCATCGACCGTTCTTCTCATATTTTTAGCGAAATTTACCATCAAAACACGTTCAATCAACGAGTTCAGTCGGCCAAATGAGGTTGACACTAGACCACCACGTTCAATAACTGTTTCCGGTGCTCCGTTTTTAAAACCCTGCATGCAAAAAGTCATCAATTGGTGTTAAAGAAAAATTCTAGTTTTTACAACCCAACAATTAGCGAACTTTACAGAAATTTAAACAAGTTTAAACAGTCAAATTAAAAAAAAACCCCCCGAGTTCGAGTGATTTTCCTTCTAATTTTTTATATTAGGACTACAACAACAGTTGTAATTACCGGTTGTACTTTTATCATCATTATTATTGTTATTATTTTTGTTATCATTATTACTATTGCCACTACCGTTATTACTATTATTATTGTCACTGCTACTATCAATATTAATATTATTATTATCATTATTGTTGTTGTTATTATTATTGTTATTATTATTATTATTATTACTATTATTATTATTATCATTATCATTATCATTACTATTATCATTACTGTTATTATTATTATTATTATTATTATTATTATTATTATTATTATTATCATCATTATTATTATTATTATCATTATCATTACTTCATTACCAATATCAACCTTCGGTTAAAGTGTACAGAATTTTCCTATTCCTACTGCAGTTACTACTACTTTAAATAATTGAATTTTCCTATTCCTACTGCAGTTACTACTACTACTTTAAATAATAATCTTCAATTATTACTATTTTAAGTAATCCTGCTGTTTTGGTATGCTTTCTATCTATTCAACAACTAAAAACTTTAGATCACATCTTTGTTGCTGGATATGACTGCTGGTTGCAAAACTGCATTATTACTATTTTCAGCCCCATGTCTATTCCAAAATCCATTAATATGCAAATATGCCACTTACAGGTTTGTATACACATCGCTCGTGGATTTTGACCTTCGACATCATCGTGACATTTCTGGTATAAGTGACCAGCAGGCGCTTGCTTCTATCAAATATGCTCTCTTCAACGGTTGGTACTATCTTAAACGAAAAAAAAACCGCTATAAAACAATTCAAAAATATAGTTTTTTATGGAAGGTTCATATTTTGAGGCGCATAGGAAATGGGAATATGTGATGTCTTTCTTCCCTGGTACACTACTTAGCTTTTAAAAAACAGCAGAGATTTTTTTACCAAATCAATGAGACTTTTTATTATTTAAAAACGAGCAGCAATAAAATATCAAATGCAATACGCACCCTGACGTCAACCAGACGCGTCATCCAACGAGGAACCGCTTTCAGAAATGTTCCTGTACGTTTCATGATTAATTTTTTGGTCCTGATTTGATCACCAGCCACCTGGAAATTTTCGGAATCAGATAAACTAACCTAATTCTTTAACAATCGGCTAACATAAATCCTTACAAAAAAACCTTGACATCAAAGAATCAGAAATGATCCAGTTGAGTTAGTGCACGTTTGTCAAGAAAACAGGATATACTGCTGCAGGCTTCTAAGCTTTTAACAGGTTAAAAATTGCAAATAATGCAAACAATTGCACTTCCCTTCGTTATTTCATTTGTTAAGCAACAAAAAAGCCATTTATTAGACATATAATGATTTTAGAAAGAACGCTATGCCAGAGATCCGATTATGCCTGAATAGAGCAATAACGAATTTCTAATTTTCTTGCTTCCCTGGATGAAACGGAGAATTTCTCTTTTTTGAGTAGATCTTAAACAACAAACATATATCACACCATCAGCTACCGATTGCATTTTCAAGCTGCCCTTCATAGAACTTTAACAATATCGCCTATGTTCTCAAAGTGCCAAACCAGAAGGATCATGCCCATCTCTTCACTAATACAGTATGGAAGCAACACAGCGGAAATATAAGATGCAGTTTGGTGGAAAAAAAAGTGCGCGAACGATATTTCAATAAAGAAAGGAAAAGACAGAGATTCATCGCCAAATCAGCGGTGCTTAGGCGGAAAAGTAAAGATGAAAAATGTTGCTTACTATCATGCAATAAGCTGGAATATACTAAATGGAAGTATGAATCTTACAACTTAGTCGCTTAAGGTGGCTGGACATCACGAAAATTTCAGGCGAGTAGTTTTCCTTCTCGAGGGCACCCTTCACGGCTGTGATGCTGTGACGACATACAAAGTAAAGGCGAGTGCTGACGTGGGAAAGGGAAGGTAGCACGGAGGGAGGAAGGAGGAGAGAAGTAGAACACGAAGGAATATGTAGAGCGAGCAAAAGATGGCGCGCAGAAGCAAGGAGCAAACCAGAATCGCGCAGCAGTTTGATCCGTGACCTATCCCGCCCTCTGTGATGAGTATTTAAGCTTGTAAATTTGTTGTAAGGTTCAGAGTGTATGTTCAGCGTTATCGTCGAGTGCGTCGTCCGTGTTATCGTCGTGTATCCCCCCAGTGTTTCGCGTCGCCGTCCCGTTCTTCAGTATTTAGGATCGTTGGTGTTTAGTGTGCCCCGTGTTTCGCGTCAAGCAGTCCATTGCAACAGCGTCTTGCTGCATTCCAGTTAGCGGAAACTTGTCCGCAGCGGCTGTCGCTGCAAGCGCCCATTCCGTCGCCCCAATGAATCACTTGTAAGCTTGTATCAGTATTGATAAAGTTCGTTTGTTTACTCCAGTCTGTCCACTAAGCGCCACAGCACAGCAGCGCTCATCCAATTTCTCGTCCAAAGCTCGTCGTAACAGTATCGTCGTAACGTCGTTGCCCTCGTAACAAATATGCTTATGAAGGTGCCAATGTATGAGTGCAAATTAGCAACATTAAAATGTCCAGTGTGGTTGTGCAATGGCCTAAGTAATCAAGGTAAATGATTGGCCAGCGCACCAACTGCCGGTGCGAAGATGCGTTTTTTGCACAGCCACCCGCAAGCTTTTGTCGCTAATGGCACGGGTTTTTCCGGTAGATGCTTCTAGCTAAACGAATTGAGACTGGTTACCAGAGCTGTCAGGAAACACCCTCTTAAAATTTAAACTTTCGAGCTTTCTTGGTTTCCGAGTCAACAAGTTACTCGCCAAAAAATTTCACTGGCTCGTACGTAAGAAATACACACAAATGGGAGCAGAGGTTAAAGTCACTATGTTCCACGTGGACCGAAAACGTCCTCTTAAAATTTAAGCTTGCTAGCTTTCCTGGTCCTCAACTTAGCAACTTACCCGCCAAAAATCTTCATAAGTCAGTACGTGAGAACCACGCACATCATGGAGCTAGGTTTAGACTCATTAGGGCCTACGTGGATGAGGAGCAACACCTCAAAACTACTGTCTTCTAGCTTTTCTGGTTCCCGAGTTAACAAATTACCCGACAAAAACTTTGGTGGGCCTGAGAGCGCCTATTTTAGGGATGGGAGCCGTTACGGACATGTAGATTAAGTTCCCAAAGTTTTAGCCCTGTAGCTTTTGTAGGTCTCGAAATGAAAATTGGTAAAACGAACGCACAGGCACGCACAGAGACGACTTTTCGAAAATATACCTTCTTGCATCGCATCGATGCAAAAAATTGGCCAACGCACGGGCTGCCCGTGCGAAGATGCGTTTTTTGCAGAGTTCCCCGC